CTTGGCAGCGGCGGCCGCGGAGCTTGACCCTCTCAAGCAGGCGGCCCTACTCAAAGCCTCCTGCTACGGCCGCGCCTTCACCGCTCTGGAGCCCGGGGCCGGTGGCCCCAGGGTCGGCGCGTCGCCCGGGCCAGGTGCTGGCGGCAGCGGCGGCGGCGGGAGCCGGGCGGGCACCCCATCGGGAGGCGGCGGCGGCGGCGGCGGCGGCGGCGGGCGGCCTCGGGCGGTGGATGTGGCCAGGAGGCTGAGGGTGCTGAATGCACTGAGGGACCCCGGTGAGCAGTCAGGCAGGCGGGCGAGGGCAGCCGGCCCTCGTGTGTTGATGTGTCGCTGGCACGCCCGGCGCCGCGCGGCGCCAGCCTGGCGCCAGCCTGGCGGCTCTGCCGCCACGCACGCGCTGCGCCTGCAGTGGTGCCAGCCACGCACTCGCCACTTTCCCTCGCCCTACACACATGCACTCGCCTCTCGCCCACACACACCAGGCCGCCGCCGCCACCGCCCCTCTCACCAACCGCCCTCACCACCTTCCCCCACCCACACGCCTCCCCTGCCTGCAGCCATCGGCATGCCCCTGACCATGCCCCAGCTGGAGGCCGAGGGCCTGCCTGCGGTGGTGTCCCGCCTCGTGGGACGCCGCCACTACCTGCTGGCGCACCGCATCTGCCAGGCGCTGGCGCTGCCCAGCGAGCAGGTGGGGGCAGCTGCTGGGGGGCAGGCTTCTGCCTGCTGCCTGCTGCCTGCTGCCTGCTCTCTGCTGGTTGCTGCTGGGTTGGGGTGCTCGCGCCGTGCTGGGGCTGCTGCCGCGAGCTAGATCGATGGATACCAGGGGCTTTGGAGCCGCGCGTGGATTCCCGCTGCCCGCGCGGTCTGCTTCCTGGGAGGGTGGTCGTGCCTGCTGCCCTCCCTGGCATTCCCCATGGGGCCACCCCCTCTCCAGCCCTCCTCCACCTCTCCACCCCTCATCCACCCCTCCTCCACCCCTCCTTCACCTCCTCCTTCACCCCCCCTTCACCCCTCCTCCACCCCTCCTCCACCCCTCCTCCACCCCTCAGGTGCTTGTGCGCTGGGCGTGCGACAAGGTCACCGCCGCCGCCGCCACGCTGCCGGACGATCAGCTGATGGAGGCACTGCAGGTGCTGCGGCAGGGGTGGAGGCGCTGCCGCATGCTGCATGCGTGGGTGCTGGGCGTGACACGCGGGGACCCTTCCTGTAGTACCTGTAGGTAGCATCGCTGGCGCCAGCTCTATACAGCCCCGCCCTGCACCCTCTCCGCTCCCCGACCAGTGCTGGCGCCAGCTCCACTCGTCCCTGACGTGCACCCCCCAACCCCCCACCCTCCAGGCTAAGCTGGCGGGGCAGTGGGGCGTGAAGTACGCTGCGGTGGCGGCGCACGCGGCGGCGCAGGGGCGGCGCCACCTGGCCGCGCTGCTGCTGGAGCACGAGCGCTGCGCGGCGGAGCAAGTGCCGCTGCTGCTGGAGCTGGGTGGGTGGGGTGGGAGGAGGGGCCTGGGTGGATGGGGTGGCTGGGTGGGAGGGAGGTCATGATGGGGAAGTTTGAGGTCATTTAGTTTCTTGTGGACGGTGGGACAGAGGGGCCATGCAGTGTGTTGTGGGGGGTGCAAGGAGGGGTCATGAAGCGGGCATCATAGCAGGACGGCAGCAGACCAGGCGGCTGCGCAGAGGGCCGGCGCAGGCGGTGGCCGCTGCGCGCGCCCTGTGTGCAGCCGAGCGGCGCCCTGCGGCTGCATGCGCGGCGGCGGCCGCTGCCTGACCCGCTCGCGCCGCTGCCTTAAAACCTTAGCCCCCGCCCCTGCGCAGGGGAAGACGAGCGGGCGCTGGACAAGGCTGTTGAGTCTGGGGACTCGGGTGGGCTGCCGGCGCGCTGCGCGCACCCCGCTCCCACCTGCTGCCTGTTGGACCCTGCAGCCCCGCTCGCCTGCCTGCCCAGCCACACCGCCTGCCAGGCACCAACCCGCACCACTGCCCACACCCACCTGCCCACACCCAGCTGCCTCACAGACCCACCCATGTGTGTCTGTGTGCCCGCTCCGCCTGGTCTCAGCCAGCCACGCTCCTGCCCACCCCACGCCTGCCTGCCCCGCAGACCTTGTGTTCCAGGTGGTGCATGCAATGTGGCGCCGCCTGGAGAGGGCCACGGCTGCGGCGGCCGCCGGCGGCGGCTCCGCGCGGCCTGGCTCCGTGGCGGGGGCCAGCCAGGACCGGTTCTGGCAGGTGGGAGTGTGGTGTGGTGTGGGGTGGGGTGTGCCTGTAGGGCTGTCGCATGCGCCTCTGCCCGCGGGCTTGCGGCCTGACACCCTGCTGGGCAGCCGAGTTCCCTCCATGCCTAAGCGCTCTCTCTCTCTTCCTCTCCGGCTTGCTTCCTGTGCGCTCACCCAGTCTGGCTCGCTTCCCAAGCGCTCACTTCATCTCGTCACGTTCTCTTGCCTCCTCCCCTTTCCCTGGCAGGCGGTGGCGCGGAAGCCGGCTGCGCTGGCCTTCTTCGCCAAGTACTACCGGCAGCAGGTGGGCGCTGCGGATCGTCAGTACCACTTGGTACTGCATGGTACCGCATGCTACCATGGCTCCCTGCGGCCGGGCGCCTGTTTCTGGCCCAGCCGCTCCGTAGCCGCGCCCCACAGCCCCAAGCCTGCCTGACCCTCCTCGCATGATCTTCCCCCCTGCAGGACCCCCAGCTTCTGCTGGAGCTGTATCAGGCCATGGGGCAGCAGGAGGCGGCCGCCGAGCTGCACCTCCAGGCAGCCCTTGAGCTCGCTGCAGGCGAGCAGGCGCACGCCGCCGCGCTGGCATGGTGCCAGCAGCCACAGCACCCTGGCTGCTGCGTTGCTTGCGTGCAGAGGCAGTGTGGCGAGGCGCACGTTTGCGGCGGGAGGGCCCAGACCGGGTCTGGCACGGCAGGCCCTCCTCCCCGCCGCTCGATCGTCGCCCTGCCGCCTGCCGCCTGCCTCTCCGCCGCAGGTGGAAAGGCCACGGAGACGGCTGTACAGAGGGAGCTGGCCCGCAGCAAAGATGCCTACACCCGCTCAACAGACGCGGCGCAGGTGCCCCGCCCGCTGCCCACACCCCCGCGGCATGCCCGCCTGACCTTTGCTGGCCCTGGCGGCAGCCCTGGTGCACCTGCCTGTGTTGGCCGGCGCCGCTTTCCGCCGACCCCAGGGTGCACCTTGCGGTCCCGCTGGTATCGCCTTGCAGGGGCGGGACCACAAGTGGGAGGCGGCGGCGGTGCAGGCGCTGGCACGGCTGCGCGAGCAGCAGCTGGAGCTGCAGAGCAGCAGCCGTCGGTGAGGCTGGGGGGCAGGGGGTTGGGGCCCGAGTGGCGGGCTTGGTGTGGGCGTGCCCCTCCCCCATCTGTGCCCCTGTGTGTCAGCAGCGCGCCCCGCCATCGGCGCCGATGCCATCGGCGCCATGGCCAGCGCTGAAAGCGTGCGTTTCTGCCTGCCCTGCAGGGAGGGGTTTGTGGGCCTGCCTGTGGCCGACACCATCAAGCTCTGCCTGCGGCTGGGCCTCAAGGACCAGGCCACCAAGCTGGCACGAGACTTCAAGGTGGGATAGTGGCTGGCTGGTGGGGTTGGGGTTAAGTGGTTGGTAGTGGTTGGTGTGTGGCGCTGGATGGCAGGGCCACTGCCTGGCCCTGCCACCAGCGGGGCTGGGGTCTCAGGGGCCGCCACGGCAGGAGTGCCAGGGCACGGCCCGGCACGCCTGTGCGGGCGGCTCGGCTCATCCCACCGCATGGCCCCACCCTGGTTCTTACATGATTTGCTGGCTGGATGAACCCACGCTGATATGCAACCTGGTCCATCCCTTACCCAACCTTGTTCTCACACCCACAACCTGCTGGTCGGCTCCTCGCCTGCTTGTACTTGTTGGCTATGCAGGTGCCCGACCGCCACCTGGGCCTGCTGGGAGCCCAGGTGCTGGCGTCGCAGCACGACTGGCGCGCGCTGCAGGCGATGGCGGGGCGGGCGGACCGCAAGGCGGGCCTGTCCATGGAGCATTTTCTGGCGGCGGCCAGGTGGGGGCGCTGTGTGGTGGGGGCGCGGCGCTCGGGCACATGGCTTGCTCGTCCGCCTGCACTCCGTGCCTGTTTGGTGTTGTGCTGTGCGTGCACGCGTGTGGTTGGTTGGGGCGAGGGCTTCCGACAGGACAGCTACCGCCCCTGCCTGCCCTGGCCCTCGGCTCCCCTCACCCTGCCGCCTGGCCCTGCCGCCGCCGCCGTCCCCCGCAGGGCCCACGGCGCGCCCGCCGAGGTGCAGCGCTGGTTCATCGACCGCATAACCGGAGAGGGCGCGCTGCTGCGCAAGGCGCAGGTGGGAAAACATGTGTGGGTTGGCGGGGCGGGGCCGGGCTGTGGGGTGCAGGCTGGCCGGCTGGCACGCGGGGAGCCTGTCCCTCCTGGGAGCCTGTGGGGCAGGAGTGCCGGCGCCGCTGCGTCGCCGCCGTGCCAGCTTGCGTCGCCTGCCGTGGGCGGGGCTGGCTGGCCGTGCATGGTTCCCCTGCGCCAGGAGTGCGGCCCCGCCTGACTTGGTACTGCCTGGTGGTACCGCCGCGTCCATGTACCGCTTGCAGCACTACAGCGAGCTGGGCATGCCCGCCCAGGCTAGGCTTCTGATGGAGCAGGCGGAGCAGCAGGGCGGGTCGGCGGCGGCGGGCATGCTGGACAGCCTGCGCGGCACCATGGGCAGCCTTGTTAGCCGCGTGCAGGCGCAGGGCGGCGGCGGCGGCGGCGCGCGGTAGGCCGCGACTCGCCGGTCGGCTACTCGCCGGTCGGACCGTGTCGCCGCACATGTTACTGCCTTGTTTGTTTGTTTGTCACCGCATGTTTGACCATCGGGTGCTGCTCTGCAGCAGTGAGTGCCTTTGAGACGATAGGCACAACGTATACTACGACGATACGCAGGGAAGTGTTCATGCGGGGGTGCCGTGCAGGGTCGCACCCGGCAGCACGGTGCTGCTGGGGCGCTACCAGGCGGTGGCCTTGCTGGCTGCCCCATGTAGATCATATGCGGGCATGCCTGCATTTCCTGTCTCGCCCTGCGGCAGGATTGCGACCACACGGCGCAGCCGCGTCACTCCGGGGCAACGCGGCTGCGCTGTGCCGCCGCTTGCTGTCGCCTTGCTGGCGGCGGTGGACGGCGCACCACAGGATGCCGCTTTTCCTGGCGGTGATCGTGTTCCCGCTTCTGGCATCCCAGTGGTCTGTCTGAAACGGCAGCGCTGGGGGCATGGGAGATGAGCAGGCACCACCGACCTGGCCGGCAGTAGCACAATCCCCGCTATGCAGCGGGAACAGCGGACGACTGGCACGACTGGCACAGAGAGCAGAGGAATGGGGACGTTGCGGCGGGCCGGGCCTGCTGCGGCTCAGCACATCATGCGACATCATGTGGCACGTTGTGTGGGCTTAAAGTCTGGTAAAGCAAGAACTAGCTTGCAACATAGACTCCCCGCCGAAACGGGACGGGAACCGGGCGAAAGCAGAGAAAGCAATAAAACAGGGGTGGAGCAAGGCGACATGCAACGCAAGCAGCTGACAGGGCACGCATCGAAACGTGTGTATGACTGGCAAAGTGGCATGGCGCATTGGGGAGAAACGCAACGGTACGGGAGCATGGGCTGGCCGAACGGCAGTGCGTAACGCTAGGTCACTAGAAAAGCAGGGAAAGGCGCACTATGTATGCAATGAGGGCAGCCCCGGCTCGGGGCCGTTGAGAAAGCAGTGGGCGGGAGGGGGGAGGCCCCGGTGTGGGCGGGCCCCATCGAGGGGGGATGGGGCGCGCAAGCGGCCAGATGGGGCGGGGCGCGGGCGGCAGTGGAGTCCTGCGGCTGGGTGGGATATAGGGCAATGAGCGTTGAGCAGTGTGCGATGAGCAATGAGCAATGAGCAGTGAGCAGCCCCTCCCTAAACAAAGTGAAGCGCAGGACGGGGTCCGGTGGATGGGAGGCAAGGAAACGCGGGGGGTTGCCACGTGCGCTACCGCCGCCGCCGCAGGCAGCACCCCTGCGGCGGCGGCAGCGGCAGCAAGCCGTGGACCCAAACGCCGTGCCGCCGCCGCCGCAGGCAGCACCCCTGCGACGGCGGCGGCAGCAAGCCGTGGACCGAAACGCCGTGCCGCCGAGTCCCGTGGCTGTGGCCTTCTGGCAGGAAACTACGGCCGCAGCTCGGCAGCACGGGGGCGTCGCAGCGTGCCGCCGCCGCGCTGCCCCCCGGGCACGGCGGCGGCGGCGGCAGCAAGCTTGGGCCCAAACGCCGTGCCGCCGAGTCCCGTGGCTGCGACCGTAGACCGTGGGCCGGAAACTGCGGCCGCAGCTCGGCGGCACGTGGTTCTGTTCAAATCGCCAAGCGTGCAGCAGCGCCGAACCACGCTTCCCGGCCTCGGCGCATGCCTTCAGGGGCCCCCTATCGCTGGGCACACCCCTCCAACACCGAACATGCGCCCGGGGGGGAGGGCGGCCCGGGCTGCCCAGGCCAAAGTGGGCCGCCCTCGAGCAAGAGGCGGCCGGTCTGTGTGCTGAATGAATGAATTAATGAATCCACGTTGGACCTTGCTCGTGCCCTCCATAAGCAGGAGCTGTTTGTGCTGCAGCACACAGGCCGCGAACAGGCAGCGAACGAGAGGCACACCTGGTCGGCTTGCGGCTGGTCCCGCCTCCAGGCGCTCGCCTCGTTCCGACAGGTGAACCTCCTGGCAGCAGTGGCTCGGTGGGGAGGAGCACCCAGCATGACTGCCAGCTGCCTGCACGTGCAGGGTCGCTGCCTGCGTTGCGCCGCTGTCGCCAACCTGCCCTCCCCGTCCGCAACCCTTTTCAGGGCCACCTGGGTTGGGTGTGTGATGGATCAGGCAGACAAGCTCAATCGGGCAGCTGGAAAGGGCGACGAGGAGGCCGTGCGCCGCCTGCTGGCGACAGGCGCTCGGGCCGATGGACAGTGCCAGTGGGGCGACCTGCCGCTGCACGAAGACAGCTTGGGTGGCCACGAGGGCGTGGTGCGGCTGCTCCTGGAGGCTGCACCCAGCACAGCAGTAGCGGCGAACCGTTCACATGCAACCGCCCTGCATCAGGCGGCTATGTGTGGCCGAGAGGGCGTGGTACGGCTGTTGCTGGCAGAGGCCCCCGGCGCAGCATCCCTGACAGACTCAATGGGACAATCGCCGCTGCACGTGGCGGCGACTGCCGGCTATGCAGGCACAGTGCAGCTGCTGCTGGAGGCGGCACCAGAGATGGCTTTTGCACCGGATGCTTCTGGTCGCACACCGCTGCATTGTGCGCTGAGGCACGGCCTCTACCATACAGCAGAGGAATTGGCGGCCTGCTGCTGCGGGTCTACGGCTCGTTGCCTGCTGCAGGCGGCGTCGGCGGTGCAGCCAGCCCTTGACGCCTGCGTCGGCGCCGGGCCGCACTCTGCAACCCTCTACGCCGACCTGGCGGCCCGCCTGCCACTTAGCCAGGAGCAGTGGAGCTCGATTCCGGCGCCATGCCCCGACCTGGCGCGCGCGCTGCCAACCGTCCTGCAGCGCTCGGCGGCCGAGGCTGGGTGGCTGGTGGGGCGGCTGGCGGAGGGGCAGCGCAAGCGGCTGCGGGCGGCGGCGCTCAGCCTGGCGCGGGCGCAGCGGGGCGTGCCATCCCTGCCGGCAGAGCTGTGTGGGCGCATCCTAGCGTTGTGCCTGCTGGACCCCTGACCGCTCCTGCTGGTTTGCATTGGCGGCGGCCTGTGCCCCACCTCCCTCATTCCATCTGGCCTGTTTGGCGCAGTTTTGAATGGCAATTTTGCTCTCAGCGCGCAGCAGAAGTTTACATGTTGCAGCGATGGGCAAACTACAGCTGCAGCTGCAGCGCATTGGTGGAAGGGGAGCTGAGCAGGCACCACTGACCTGGCTGGCAGTAGCACGATCCCTCCATGCAGCTGGGGCCAGCGGCGCAGGCCGCCTGCGCGGCGCGGCGCTCGACTGCCATTCCACACGCGGCGCGGTGGCAGCATGGGATGATGTCGGTAGGGCCTGCTGCGAGTCAGCGCAGCGTGGCAGCCTGGGCCTGCTAGCGCCCCTCCAGAGCAGCTGGCAGTTGTTTGTGCGCCAGCGTACATTCAGCAGCGAACGAAAGGCACACCTTGTTGCCTTGTGGCTGCTCTTGCCTCCAGGTGCTCGCCTCGTTCCCCCAATTGAACCCCCTGGCAGCAGTGGCCCGGTGTGGGAATGAGCTCCAAGGTTCACTGCCAGCTGCCTGCAAGTGCAGGGGCGCTGCCTGGGCTGGAGCCTCTGCCGCCAACCCGACCACCCGCCCCCCTGCTGCAGGGCTATCTGGTTGGCTGTGTGTGTGATGGATCTGGCAGACGAGCTCGATCAGGCAGCTCGAGACGGCGACGAGGCGGCGGCGCGGCAGCTGCTGGCGGCAGGCGCTCGGGCGGATCAACCCAACCAGCACGGCTACTTGCCGCTGCACGTAGCGAGCTACAGCGGCCACGAGCGGGTGGTGAGGCTGCCGCTGGAGGCTGCGCCAGCCACGGCTTCAGTGGCAGACTCCCAGGGACAGACAGCCCTGCACCATGCGGCACTTGGTTTCAGGCATTGCCCAGCGGCGGCAGTCGTACCCCTGCTGCTGGAGGCGGCAGCAGAGCTGGCTTTTGTAATGGATGTGTATGGATGCACACCGCTGTTCATGGTGCTGTTCTTCAGCCGCCACCGAACAGCAGAGCAAGTCGTGGAGACGGCCCGCTGCCTGGTGCGGGCAGCGCCAGCGGTGCAGCCAGCCCTGGGCATCCTGCTGCAGTACAGCCAGCAATCTGCCACCCTCTTTGCCGACCTGGTGGCCCGCCTGCCGCTCAGCCGCGAGCAGTGGCACTCGATTCCTGCGCCCTGCCCCGACCTGGATCGAGCGCTGCCAGCCGTCCTGCAGCGCTCGGCAGCAGAGGCGGGGTGGCTGGTGGGGCGGTTGGCTGAGGGGCAGGGCAAGCGGCTGCGGGCAGCGGCGCTCAGCCTGGCACGGGCGCAGCAGCCCAGCAGGTGCTCGCTTCCGGCGGAGGTGAGCGGGCGCATCCTGGCGCAGGCGCTAGCGGCCTAGCTGCAAGTTTTGCGCACTAGTGTGTGTGTGTAATTTCCATTTCTGCATGTGATGCAATTCATGGCGTCGGGGACAAAATCTGCTGCACAAGCACCGGCACAAGCAGTGCGGTTTCAGCAGCCTGAGGCGGGGCTGGCGGAGCGCATGCGCGGATGCCACCAGGGGCGGGGATGCCACCAGGGGCGGGGACAGGCTTGGTCAACTGTTCAGATTTCGCCTCACTTCAACAGAAAGGTACATACCTCACTGACGGCGCATTGGGAACTGGCTGGCCCTGTGATGGCTTCGCAGCACAAGGACCTGCACGCGGCTGCGCTGGCAGCGGCGGCAAATCCCAACAGGACCCAGCACATGAATTTGGTTCCGGCGCCCCCAAACCCGTTTGTCAACCTTCTTCTGCTTCCCCTGTCCGAGAGAAGAGCTCCCCTTACGGCTGCCGCTCCCCACGAGCCCAGAGGCAGAGTGAGCGTTGCGGCCGCCCTCGCTCAGCTCGCACGCCCCTGACAGACTGGGCGTGAGGGGAAGCAGAGTCGGTCACGGTGCGCCTCGCTGCTGCGCGCTGGGCTGCCGCCCGCCGCGTCGCCGCTGCCATCCGCGTTGCGGCATACGTCTTGCGCCAAAAGCATCACCCTGTGCCTTGCCTCCAGCCCGCTGCAGGCTCAACAACAACATGGCAGCGCCGCTCTTCGCTGCAGCCGAGGCGGGAGACGAGGCGGAGGTGCGCCGCCTGCTGGCGGCAGGCGCTCTGGCCTATGGACGGAGTGAGCGTGGCGGCCTGCCGCTGCACCCAGCCAGCTTGCATGGCCACGAGGGCGTTGTGCGCCTGCTTCTTGATGCTGCACCCAGCACAGCAGTAGCGGCCGCCCGCCCTGCAGAAGCCCCCCTGTATTTCGCGGCTTTGGGTGGCATGGCACACTTGGTACAGCCGTTGCTGGAATTGGCCACCGCCGCAGCACCGAGGGCAGGCTCCAAGGGGCAAACGGCGCTGCACGTGGCGGCACGTACCAGGCAGGCAGGCCCGGTGCGGCTGCTGCTGGAGTCCAACCCAAACAAGGCGTCAGTGGCAGATCGGCGCGGCTGGACCCCGCTGCACACAGCAGCGTATTACTGCCAGGATGCAGCCTGCGAAGTGGTGGGGCTGCTGCTGGCGGCCGCCCCAGCCACGGCCTTGGCGGTGGACCGCGACGGCTGGACACCGCTGCACCACGCGGCTGACCGTGGCAACCTTGAAGCGATGAAGCTGCTGCTGGCGGCCGCTCCCCAGGCAGCTGCCGCAATGGACTCAAACAGCCAGGCCCCCATCCACCGCGCCGCAGACGCCAGCCATGCTGCAGCCGTGCAGCTGCTGCTGGAGGCGGCACCAGAGCTGGCTTTCGCGCCGGATGCTGCCGGCGGCGACACCCCGCTGCACCTGATCCTGCGCTCTTGGTACATTGCACAGCGAGGCGTGGAGGCGGCGCGCTGCCTGGTGCGGGCGGCGCCAGCGGTGCAGCCAGCCCTTGACCTTTGCGTCGACGCCTGGCCGCACTCTGCCATCCTCTTTGCCGACCTGGCGGCCTGCCTGCCGCTCAGCCAGGAGCACTGGCGCTCGATTCCTGAGCCCTGCCCCGACCTGGCTCGAGCGCTGCCTGCCGTCTTGCAGCGCTCGGCGGCCGAGGCGGGGTGGCTGGTGGGGCGGCTAAATGCCAGCCAGCAGGCACGCCTGAGGGCAGCGGCGCTCAGCCTGGCGCGGGCGCAGCGGCAGAGCAGCACTGTGCTCGCGGCGGAGCTGAGCGGGCGCATCCTGGCGCTGGCGCTGGCAGAACCGATCCAAGCTGCCTAGATTAATTGTCCGTGCTTGCTGCTCTCTTGCTAGTTTGTCGATGATGTGAACATCAAGATCCTTTCCCAATGCGGCATGCCATGCGTGGCGCGCTTGGCGTGCCCGCTGTGCTCAGCTGGCCGCGGGCCTGGTTGCCTCGCCTGCGTCGTACCTGAAATTGCTAGGCTATCTTCTCGAATTCGTGAGCTCTCAATTTTTGTCTAGATTTGCACGGTGCGGACGTAACGCACGAAACTCAGCTAGTCGCAACCTTGGTGGCTCGGCTCCGCGGGGCTTTTGGGGTCATACACGCTTCGCGCGTGTGCTCTCAGCATTACAATCAGAATCATTTCCACTCGCGCGTCAATGGAGCAGGCCGGGCGGGCGCTCCGTGGCACCGCTGTCACGGGCGTGCCGCAAGGGCGGGAAGAGAAGCGGCTGCTTTCGGCGCCTTCACCAGAAAGCTCGCGACAGCTGCCTTTGCACGCTGCATGTGGACATGGCCACGGCGAAGAGGTGGTGCGGCTGCTGGCGGCAGATCCCCAAGCAGCCACGGCACGGGACAGCGACGGCGCCACCCCGCTTCACGTGGCGGCTCTCAACGGCAGGGTAGAGGTTGCCAGCCTGCTTCTAGCGGCCGCCCCGAGCACGGCAACGGCGGTTGAACTGGATGGGGCGACTCCCCTGCACCTGGCAGCCTGGGAAGGCCAGCAGGCAGTCGTCGCGCTGCTCCTGGCAGCCGCTCCTGGCACGGCGGCGGCGACCGACTCTGCAGGCGCGCTGCCGCTGCACATGGCGGCGCGGGAGGGGCACGAGGCTGTGGCGAGGCTGCTGGTGCAGACGGCACCTGTGACGGCGCTGGCGGCAGACCTGGAGGGTGCGACCCCTCTGCACTATGCTGCATGGGCAGGCCACGCGGGCGTGGCCGGCCTGCTGCTGGCGGCGGCACATGCGGCGGCGTGGACGCCAGACCGCAAGGGCTGCCTGCCGCTGCATTACGCCGCCCAGGGCGGGTGCCTGGCAGCGGTGCGGCAGCTGGCGGCGGCAGCCCCCGGCACCGCCTGCACGGCAAACGGCAGCGGGCGCACCCCGCTGATGGCGGCGATCAGCAAGCGGCATGGCGCGGTGTGCGGGCAGCTGCTGCAGGCGGCGCCGGAGTGCGCCCTGGTGGCAGACGCCTCTGGGTGGACTCCCTTGCACCAGGCAGCCTGCTATGACGCAGCCATCCTGCGGCTGCTGCTGGCTGCGGCTCCCGCTGCTGCTGCCGCCGCCGCCGCTGCAGCAGCCCAGACATGCCAGCCTGCGCCGCAGCGACAGGTGGCATTCTGTGAGAGCAGTGGCGAGGTGCTGCAGCGGCTTCCGGCAGCACTGCAGCCCGCCGCCGCCCTTGCGAGTGCCGCCGACTGCCGCGGGCGGCTGCCACTGCACGAGGCAGCCCTGTGCGGGGACGTCGCCGCCGTGCAGCTGCTGCTGGAGGCGGCGCCAGCCACCGCGTACGCAGCCGACGCACGCGGCCAGACCGCCCTCCACCTGGCGCTGCGCCATGCCGCCGACTGGCCTCGGTGCAGCAGGGGCAGCGCAGCGGCGGCGCGCTGCCTGTTGCGCGCTGCACGTGCGGCGCAGCCGGCCCTTGCCATCCTCCTGACATGCGCTGATGAGGAGTTGGCTGATGGCCTCTACGCCGACCTGATGGCGCGCCTGCCGCTAACGCAAGACCAGTGGCGGCAGGTGCCGGGGCCCATCAATGACCTGGCACGAGCGCTGCCAGCCGTCCTGCAACGCTCGGCGACAGAGGCGGGGTGGCTGGTGGGACGGCTGGTGAAGGAGCAGCGCAAGCGGCTGCGGGCGGCGGCGCTCAGCCTGGCGCGGGTGCAGCGGGGCGTGCCGTCCCTCCCGGCGGAGCTGAGCGGGCGCATCCTGGCGCTGTGCCTGCTGTAGCGACCCACACCCCCGCTGGCTCACTGTGGCAGGAGTGCATCAAGATCAACCATTTGAATCCCACTGTGCCCATGCACGAGCTATTCTGCCGTGGCCGGAAATTTGCCTGATGGGTGCCTCCCTCCTTGCCTGCCACAAGTTGAGCAATGCAGCTGACCCTCCTCCCCTTGGCAATCCCGCACGTTTGCAACCGCCGCTTCGTTACAGCCGCCTGCGGCGCTGGTACAGTGGCGGCAAGAATCGGAGGAGCAGAGCCGGGCGAAGCAAAATAATACTAGTGCAGCAGCACGGTTGTTGGCCGAGCGTGTGGTCTTCTCTCACAGTGATGACGCAGGGGCGGGTGGGCAGGTGCGGGGAGGTGATTGGATCAGATGCCCACAGGCGACAACGGCGCGGCAAAAGAATGGAAAGGATGTGGGGCTGGCTGGGGGTCGGGGGCGCGGCCCGGATTCGGTTGGTTGTAGCTCATGCATTCATGACATGAAAGGGCGGGGCAGGGAGGAAGGGAAAGGGAGGGGAGGAAGGGGCGGGGGGCCCGAGTGGCGGGCCGACCCCCTCTGGAGGCCGGCCTGCTCGCTATCAAACGTAATCAGTGCTGCCACCCGGCTAGCGACGGTGCAGCCAGCATGGCCGCAGGTGGCCGGAAGCCGGCCTGGAAAATTGGCGGGGGCAGGCCGGCCGGCCAGCCGCTGGCTGCTGGGTAGCTGGCTGGGGTGGCGCGTGGGGGAGTCTGGGGTGGCAGGTATACGCGGGGTGTAGCGCCGCACACGCGGCGCCAGCGCAGCTGTGCTGCAGTACAGCTGATGTCGGCAGGCGGGTCGCTGGGCGCAGCGCAGCAAAATTGGGTACAGGTGGGAATGGTGCGGTTTGCTGGCACCACCCCCGGTCGGGTGCTGCTCAGCAGAGGCTTCAGATGTGCTTCTCAATCAGCTCCCGCAGCTGCTCCGTCTTGGCCCCAGTCATCTTGTCCACCTGCTGGCCGTCCTTGTAGAGCAAGAAGGTGGGCGCCACCTTGATGCCCAGCTGCAAGGGAGAGCAGGATGGGGGGGGGGGGGGGGGGGGGGGGGGG